AAATTCAGCTACGTTAATAACGTAGCTGAATTCGAAGTACCTTAGTTCGAACTTACCGCAGGTCCCAGACGCGGCAGGCAGGCTCCCCCCGTCGATGCCGCGTACTCCTCTCACCGAGCTGGAGTACCGGCGTCGACAGCGAGCACTTCCGGGATCGATCCCAGAAGATCGATTGCTTACCGCCGGACCCGGAGGTAAGTGTAGACCTACCCCAAGGGACTGAGGCCTTGCAATGATTTGGAAGCAACCAGAGACTTAACAAGCCAGCAGTTTATTCCATCGCTGCTACAAGCCTGATCCAAGAACTTTGCAATTGCTGTATGTATTTGATTCCTTTAACCAGTTTTAACTCTCACATTTCTTTCTTTCTCTTTATAAATAAACCTTTTAGATGTTAGATACTAAAGGATTGGCAACCACATGATTATTGGGTAAGATCTGAGTTATATATTGACCTGGGCGTGTGGCTGGTCCTTTGGGATCAGAAGAACCTTTTGTTTGATTAATCTGGTTTTAAATAACCACTCATCATTAAGTCTAGTATTTTTGGTGGTGATACAAGGATTGGAATACCAAAGGAGACTGCTTTTCTGAATTCTTGTTAACCAGTTGGTGAAACAAGTTTATTTTGTTGTTTGTTTGGTATATCTCATGGGAGAAGAACTATCAGTTTTGGGGTATGTGTGTCCCATTTCTCAGCAGTTTTTCCTAAATTTGGTATTCTCAGTTGTGACCCATGGAGGCATGGTGGCAGAAAAGCCCTGGCAGAACTTAAAGGTGGGCTGGGGAAGGTTTCATAGCACCTGCCCTAAACCAGAGTTGCCACCTTCACAAGCCCTACATTTATCACTTTAATTTTTGGAATGAAGGTTATAGTTAACACAGCACCTGCGGTCCCTACAGACATGCAAAAAAGTCAGAGAGAACATTGGTTAGATGATTCGTCCCTATTGACTTTTTCTGCCTAACTGGCCAAGTGGCTGCAATTCAGCCTTTCCCACAAAACTTTGCAGGAGGCCTGTGGTGACATTTTGGAAAGTTCATGTGGTACAAATATTGCTTCAGTTTCTGGCCGGATCAGCACGGAAACGAAGGGAGACTCGGGGAGCCAACGTTTGCCTCTCTTACCTGCACATAGAGCAATTTCTGCATTGAGCTCTGGAAAACTGGACTTGCTGTTCTGTTCTCTATCTTTCCACCACTTGTTTTCTGGAAGCTTTTTTCTGAAACCCTTCGAATCACCTGGGAGAGATTGAAGTTTCAATAACATTCAGGGAAGAAGTAAGTAATATCAGCCTTCTTGTTTCTCTGCACTGGCTTCCTTTGTTGCTGGCTCCTGCCATTTGTATCACGTCTGGTGTTTTAAAAAGAAAATTTGTCAGATAATGTGTCTTTAAAGCCCAGTGGACGGGCCAATTGGAGTTCAACCCACCTCAGTTGGTTTTGTTGTAACTGAGGGTCCCCCCGTGGGTGAACCAGGACATGGGACAAATGTCTGTGGAGTGTCTATGCTACAATTTATACTCATGGGCTGAGCAAAGGGAGGTCTTACCCTCATTGGCATTTCTCTGTGTGGCTGGAGCGTGATAACTTTGGAATGCGGCCTCTGAGATGTTACAAAATTTCAGGGAATGTTCTAGGTATTGATGGGCCAAACCCGACTGATTTGAGGGAAAATTGGAAAAAGCGGAAGGGTGAGATGAAGGACACACGGAGCCCCTGGAATCTGGTTAGCAGAGCCAGCAGCCTTAACCACCTCTGAAATTATCTAGAGATCTCCGAACGGGTTGCTGATAGAAATTAACATATTCCCATATAACAGCCCCTCCCAGCCCAGCTGTGCCCAATGAGCATGGCACCTTGAACAGCTGGTCTCCTAGAGAGAGAGAGAGAGAGAGAGAGAGAGAGAGAAGAAAGAA